GGGCATGATGCTTAAGTGAGTAAACATATACAAGGAGCTTAGAAGAGTGGCAGGTACAGAGAAAGCACTTAAAAAATTCTCACTTTATTATGAAAATCGTTATTGTTGATTTGCTTTTACTACTATCTGTGCCTAACTGAACCCTCCCCCACCCCATTGCTGCCTCAGTGGAGGGCCAGGCAGGGACTCTGCAGGCCGCTGTGTGGGACAGTGGTCTTGTTGCCTCTCTCAGCCCTCTAAAGCCAGGCCCCAGGGTCTGGGGCTGGGTGGGGGTGGGGGCTCAGGGTTGACTCACTCCCAAGGGTAGAAAGCTGTTCTCTGTGTCACTTCCTGTCCCCTCATGCCCCACACCCCAGTTCTGTCAGAGTGCTCTCCAGGCACAGACATGGAACTGTCCCCTCTTCAGCCTCCTTGGGTCTGAGACTGGGGACCCTTTTCTCTTTGGGCCCCAGGATCCTGGTGGAAAGTGACCTAATCAAATGTGCCACCTAAAGTGACATACCAGGGCTTAGGCTGGCAGGGGAGACAGTCACCTTCCTCCTTCCTTCTAGCAGGGCTACTGTCTGTCTTCTTGGAAAGTGGGATTAAATAGTTCCTCCTTGGAAAGGGGTGGGGGGGTGTGTGGTTATCCAGAGATTTAAATAAGTACAATGCCTGGCACTCAAATATTGTAGTTATTGTTATTCCTATTATTGCTGTTGTTTGATGTTTACAGCTTGCTCAGAGCTGCTGTAGGCGTGCCCAGGCCCTAAGAACTCATGCTGACCTGGCCTGGAAGGTGGGACTCTCCACTCCTCAGTTGTCACAGTGGAGGGCCAGAGGGGTCCAGCAGCCTGCTCAGGGACACAGCTAGAAACAGGTGGCATCAGGGTTTGGTCTGGAGGAAAAGTGCCCAGGTTGGACTCCTCAGGGTGACTTCGGGCAACTGAGTCAGCCTGTCCCAGCCATTGTATTCCATTAGTCAAGGGGGATAATGCTAGAGCTCACCTCGTAGATGTGGGGAAGATTAAAATGGGTTCATTGCTACCAGGAAAAGCACTTTCTCATGCCTGACACAGTGAGCATAACCGGGCCAGCATTGTGGCTTTGGGGAGGAGGACACAGTGTTTCTACCCCACGGTGGGAACGCTGGCGGGAGTGGGCCACGGGGACTCCATAGGCCAGGCCTGAATTTGAGTCCAGGCCTGAGTTTGGGGCCAGTGCCGCCGTGAAGTGGGCGTGCCGGCTCGCGGAAGAACTTCCTGCAGTGCGCGCTGGGCGGCTGGGACCAGGTCCGGGCGCCGAGCCCACTGCCGAGCGGTCTGGGCTCGGGTTCTGGCCGCTGCCGGGCTTCCGTTCACTCTTTTCGGGTAACACCTGGGTCGGCGGGTTCACCTACCTACTGCCGGTCACCGGAAGTTGCGCAAACGCGTGTTACCTGAACCCCAGGTGGGCTGGGCCGGAGGAGCCCAGCGTAGCGGCGCGGGCGCAGCCAGGTATGTGCGGATCTGGGCTGGAGAAGGAGGGTCGGGGCAGGGGGCGGTCCAGCAGCCCTCGGGGAAGTCGGGACTGGGCAGGGGGTCACCTTCCGTCCTGAATGGAAACCGTACGGTCAGCCCCCTCATTTAAGAGCCAGGCCAACCCGGGCTCAGAGAGGGGCAACCAGCGCGGCCAGAGTCAGCGCGCAGCACGGCTCGCGGTTATTCTCCATCGCTGGGAGTTCCCAAGATTGCCCTGACGTAGGGAAGGGTAGAAGCCAGACCGGAATCCTAGCTGCTCCTACTCCCTCTCTCCTGAGGCTGCCTTCAGGGAAGCAAGTTGGGGATGTATGCCCCGCAGATGCCAGCAAGAAGGGGCTGGGCTGGCGCGTTTGGGGCCATTTGTGCGTAGCATTTGGAATCCGTGAAATCCATGGGCGATGAGAGGAGACTCAGAGAGGATGAGTCCCACCCGGGGACTGGGACCCCTGGCTTCAACTAGAAGGAGCCACCGCGCTTCCGTTTGCCCACCTGTGAAATGGGGCTTGTTTAGATCAGCTGGTGGATTAGCCTCTAACCTGTGCCTCCCTCGTCCGCGGCCCTTCCGGACCCGGCTTAGAGACCCCTGTGAGGAGTCTCACAGGGGAGGGGGGAGGGGATGGTCTGTGGAGTTGGGTCAAAGTCCTAAGAAAAACAAGGAGTCTTGTTCGTGGAGAGCCAGCTTTTTTGGCCAGATGCTGAAGAATGTCCTTTACCTGTTTTCTCTCTCCATCCTCACAATGACCTGGAGGCTCAGAGAGGTCTATTTTTAACTGCATTTGGCAGATAAGGAAATGGAGTCTGTAAGAGGCCCGGCTGCTTGCCCAAAGCTCACAACCAGTGGGCGGCCAGTGGGTGGCCAAACCCCAGGCAGGCGAGCCAGTGGCTCCAAGGAACATGGTTCTTCGCATCTGTTCCTGGGAGACCCTGGGGCCAGCAGGTCTGGCCAGAGCGGGTAGGGGCCCCAGTGGCGATGTGCAAAGCGTCTGCCCTTGCCTATCTGACCTCCTCCTTCCCTGTTTCCCCGATAGTGGGGTAGTGCTGGGGAATCCACCGTTGCGGACGGGTTGAACTGGTTTGGGAAGTGGCCACTGGGAGGTGGGGCAGAATCTAGCTACTTCCACCCAGCTCAGCAAGGCTGCCTTTCCTATCAGACCCTTCCCTCTTGAGGTCTCCTGGAGTCTGCCTTGAGTGGGTCAGCCTTCCTTTTCCACTTACTCCATCCCTTCTCCTTGGGAGCAGCTCTGGCTCTGGGCCAACAGGCCCCAAGGTTCTTTTCTCAACTTTCCATGGTGGCAAAGGCCTCAAACTGGGGCTAGGGGCCAGATGGAAGGGCATTTGCAAACCTGCTTTGTTTGTTCTGCACATGCAATGTTTTAAAAACAATAATGATAATAATAGTTATTATTATTATTAATGAATATGCTAACATGTAAGAATCTAGAGTTTCCCCGCACTTCTGAATTTCCAGCTTCCTAAAATACCCTACACTTGCCACCTTGGACCCATCACCTGAAGCAGACTGGGTGTGCCCCTCTTAGTTTATACCTGGTCCGCCCAGTCACGTTTGGCTCCCACAGGCATTTCATGTCGATAAGACTGTTTACAATACCTATTAGGTCAAGATCAATATCTTGAAACTTAGACGTAGTGAACAGAGCAGGTACCCCCATGCCCTCATGGAGTTGATATTTTGGAGGCATGGGAATGACAGAGTAAAACTACCGTAACCATACAAGAAAAAGGAATTCTGCTTCATGTGAATTGGGTCTCATTTATCTGCTCTGGGACCTAGGTGGGTCACTTCTCTGAGTCTCAGTTTCTTCATCTATAAAATGAGGTGACAAGGACCCATCTCACTGGCTTGTTGGAGGATGAAAGGCGAGAACGGTGTCGAGCATTTGGCACACAGTAGAAACCCCTGCCTCCCCAGCTCAATCTAGACTCTCCCTGCTGGAGCTCTGGCTGTCTACGTGGGGCTGGTCGACACAGCTTTCTGCTAAGGATGGAAGTGCTCCATTCTGTGCTGTCCATTATCGTGACCACTAGACACAGTGGGTCTTGAGCCCTTGAGATGTGGCTAGTGTGATTCAGGAACTGAATTGTAAGTATTTAATTTAAATTTGCCCTAGCTGGTGTTGCTCGGAGGATTGAGCATTGGCCTGGGAACTGAGGGGTCACCGGTCCGACCCCTGGTCTTGGGCACATGCCTGTGTTGCAGGCTGGGTCCCCTGTTGCGGGTGTGCGGGAGGCAGCCGATTGATGTGTCTCTCACACATCAGTGTTTCTCTCCCTGTCTTCCTCTCTCCCTTCCCCTCTCTCTAAAAACAAATAAATAAAAATTTAAAAAGATAAATGTAAAGCTACAGTTGTGGCTAGTGGCTATTGAATAGACAACACAGCCCTAGATGGCTTGAACTACAAGTCCTCTTGGCTGTCACACAGACAGAGTCCCCCCACCCCCATTAGTGGATGAGAAAGTTCAGGACTTGGTCTACAGGTTTTCTTCTGGCCCATCTCCAGGGAGGCTTCGGGGTCACTTTGTGGCCCCAGCCCTTCTTTGGAAGAAGGGTAGGGACGGCCTGATGACCGGCACACCAAGTTCTAATGCCTGGGTGATTATGTGGACACTCGTGCCTGCAGGTGTGGGCACTCCTGCCTGTGGGTGCCCATGCTGTGGCTGCTGGCAGATGGAGGGCTGTGTGATCTTCGGCATTTCCAGCCCCTCTTGGAGCAACATAGCTTGGGGCTGACGTTTCCCTGTGGTGGGCATTCATGGATCACCCCAGGGCTGGCACTGGAGTCCTGTACTGGAAGTGGGTGATGTCTGCCCTCTGCTGGGGTGGGGGTGGCATTTTCTCCACTCCTCCCCCACCAGCTCTCCTACTGTGCCTGGGGCCTGGCATGTCTAGGTGGGTGAATGGCACAGGGCAGCTTCCTGCCTAGGTGGGTGAGGGTTGCAGGAGTTACCAGGCTCCCTGTGGGCAGTCCAGATTGAGTTGGAGCCCTTTCTCTTGGTCATCTAATCCCAAAACTCTTGTGGCAGCGCCTCCTTGCTTGGAGGCAAGGAGTAGAGCCACCAACTTGATGAATTAGCTTAATCACATTGGTTACCTCCCTGGGCTTCCCTTTCCCCATCTGCAAAATGGAGTTAAGAGCACCCGCTGAGGTTGAGCTGGCTGGTTCCCAGCACACGGCTTAGAGCCCACTTTGCTTCTTTTAAAGTGTGCCTTGTTCTGTCTTTTCTGCTTAGACTGCTCCTGTCTTTTTCTTTGGCACCTTTTCTCCCTCAGCCTCAGCTGGGCCGCCTGGCCCTCGGAGAGGGGCGGGGGTGTGGGTGGAGCCACAAAAACCCCAGCTGCGGATTTCTGCCTTCTTATTGGCTCCCTGTGAATAAGGGGCGTGGCCTTCACTTTAAATGGGAAGCGTCTGTAGTCTCTTCCAGTCTTTGCGAAGCCTTTGTCTGAACGTGCTCAGCCTTTCTTTTTCTTTCCTCTCCTGCAGTCGTTGCCGGCGTCCAGCTGCCAACTTTCTGCCTGGATCGCTGTCTCCTAATTTCTTCGGTCTCCTCATACAGAAGGCCTTGGAATATGTAGCAGCCATGCCTGTGGACAAGCTGTCTGCTGGAGCCCGCGACACCACTGCTCTGCCTTTCCGTCTGCGGACCAAGGTCCCCGGCTACCTGCTACGGAGGCCAGTGGATGGTGGAGCCCGGAAACCTAGTGCTGTGGAGCGCCTGGAGGCTGACAAGGCCAAGTACGTCAAGAGCCTGCATGTGGCCAATACCCGCCAGGAACCTGTGCAGCCCCTGCTGTCCAAGCAGCCGCTTTTCAGCCCAGGGACTCGCCGCACTGTGCTCACTTCTAGCCGCCGAGCCTTGCCTGGCCCCGGCCGCCGGCCCCAACTGGACCTGGACATCCTTAGCAACCTCATTGACTTGTGTGATAGCCCCGTGTCCCCTGCCGAGGCTAGCCTTACTCCCGGACGAGCAGAGGGAGCCCGCCAGGACCCTCCAGCTACGCCCCCACGCCCGCCACCCAGTACTACTGCAGTCCGCCGAGTAGATGTCCGTCCCCTGCCGACCTCACCTGCCCAGCCTTGCCCATCACCAGGCACTGCTGCTTCCAGTCCAGCTCGGCCCCCAGGTTTGCAACGCTCCAAGTCAGACCTGAGTGAGTGCTTCTCACGGGCAGCAGCTGACCTGGAGCGATTTTTTAACTTCTGCGGCCTGGATCCAGAGGAGGCACGGGGGTTGGGTGTGGCCCACCTGGCGAGGGCCAACTCAGACATAGTGTCTCTGGCTGGGCCCAGTGCTGGGCCAGGCAGCTCCGAGGGGGGCTGCTCCCACCGCAGCTCTGCCACTGTTGAGGAGCGGGCGGTGGAGCGCGTCCCCTATGGCGTGTCGGTGGTTGAGCGCAATGCCCGGGTGATCAAGTGGCTGTACGGGTTGCGGCAAGCGCGGGAGACTCCAGCGGCGGAGGGATAGGCCTCTACTGGACTTGGCATTCGGCACCGGACAGATCTTAGGCAAGTGGCCCCTTGCCCTCTCCTGCCCCCTTTCTCTGGCTTGGGGTAGACCAGAGACTGCTGCCTTTTGTGAACTTGGTCTAGAGGCAAAGGCTCAGAGGCTGGGCCAGCATCCATCGAGCAAGGACTGACCCTGGAGAGAGGTGCTTCTTGACCTGGGACCACCCCTCATTCCTCACATGCAGGGGTTTTGACACTACTGTATCGCTTCTTGGTTCCTCTCCTGGGTTTGGGGCACTTGGCCCTCCTCGCTGAGAGTGAGGACTGAGCATCTCCACCAGGCCCGTGTACCCAGTGGCTCTGTTTCGTTCTTCCTTCCTTGGCCTCTATCCTTTGCTGACTTCCTCTTCCTTACTCCGTGGGTCCCCGTTCCCTGGGAACTCACCCTGGGGTGGGGGCAGGGAAGAGTGGTCTAGCCACTGTTCCCTCCAGGCCTGGGCCGCCTGGTCGAGATGGGTAGACTACAGGAGGAACTGGTAGGAGTCCGCACTGCTCTGGCTTCCCTTCCTTTGGTTAATAAACACAAATGTTTGTTTTTCAAGGGCTGGGTCATCAGATTCTTCTGTGTTCACAAGGGGTAGGGGTGGGAGAAGTCTTGGGGTAGGGCCTTCCAAACCTGGTAATTGTTTTCCCCAGGATCTGGTGGGCTGTGAGGTCAGCGGTTGGCCTGGCTCGAGGGATCCTCAGGGAGGCTGGTGCACTTCCTTCGTAAAAGAAGAAACGGTCCGGGCACTGAGCGAGTTGGGTTACAGCTGGGACTGGGACTGGGACTGGGGCCTGTTCCCTGGACCAGGAAGGGGAACTACAGGGGAAAGGCTGACATGGTCATGGACCCTCCCGGCTATGAGTGTTCGGGCTTTCCCCGCCCCCTGCCCAGTTTCAAAGGGACAGGAAGCTCAGAGAGGGCAAACCCTAAACTTGAGGTTCCACAGGCCATAGAATTGGGGGTTGGAAGTGGGAGTTCTTGGAGGAAGAGGGATCTGGGGTGGACAGCACAGGATGAGTGGACTTGCCTCCACCTCTGGGTGACCCTGGTCACACAGTCTCCCTCTCTGGGCTTCAGCGGGAGAGGCTGACAGCACAGCCTGCTTGGAGTTGGGGGGAGGGGGAGAGACTGGCTGGCACTAGGCTCTCAGCTCCTTGCTCTCTCCCCCCAGGTTAGTTACCTGTTAGGAGACCTCACCTTGGCTGGTGGAACGGCCAGTGCTAGGGCCCGGGACACAAAGGACGAAAGCCTGGGTGGCCTCTGCCCTCCCTTGGGTGGGAGAGGGGAGGGGCTGCGTGGTGCTTCCTTTTGCACTGGCTGCCTTGGCTGCAGCACTCAGAAACAGGAAGCTCTAATGGGGGCCCTGTGACAGATTTGATGTAGGTTTTATTTTAAGCATAAAGAGGAGATTTCCGTTGGGCTGTTGACAAACATCCAGGTCAGCCCAGCTGTCTGTCTATCTGTCTGTCTGTCTCTGAGATTCTACAGCCAGGTCCCGGGGGATTGGGCTAGGCCTGGTAGTTCAGGGAAACACGGGGAAATTGGGCTGTCGAAGAGGAGTCTGTCCGAGCCCTTGAGAATGGAGCCCACCCCTCGTGATACAGAGGAAGAGACTGAGGCACAGGGAGGGCGGTGACCTGCCCACAGGTACCCAGCAGGTTTGATAACGTAGCAGCTGGGCCTCCTGGTTCCTACGTCAAAGGAGTGATAAGGGCAGGTGGATAGTCTGGGCAGGCTCTGCAGAGGTGCTATCTTTTGATATGTCAAAGCCCCGCCCCTCTGGGCAGCCTGGCCAGAATTTTGTGCTAAGTGTTGCCCCTTGCTGTGACCTGCCAGCCCCCAGACACACGAGAAGGTGGGCTGCATTTGACACATGAAGAAATTGTGGCCAGGGGCCCCTTGTACCTGGAGGAGGCTTAAGTGCTGGACTCGGACCCTTTTACATTTATCCTGCCATCGAATCCTCAAGGTGACCTTTCGAGGGTCACCTTAGAAGGTCATCTCTTGTCTTAGAGCAGAAGGGGTAGTAGCTTGTGGGCTGTGTGTGGACACCCCACAGTCAGTGGCACTCTGGCCCCCTGATTCTTTACATGTGCCTCCCTCCTCACCATCCTGGCAGCTTTTCTTCCTGGTCGCTTTACTGAGCACCTACTGGGTCCCCAGCAGTGGGTAAGACAGACCCGGGCCCTGCCGTAGTCTTGGAGTCGGGAGGGGACAGGCAGCTAAGCAATAAGCACATAGTCATATAATATGGAGCACGTATGGTTAGAAACTTCTGCCTGAAGACCAGTTCTGTTCCCATGAGCTGGGCCCCGGGGTAGCTGAGAAGGGCATTGGGAGGGTCTTTTGGAAAGAGAGCAGAGAGGGATTCTTAAAAGTGGGGAACGTGCCAGTCTGAGCCTTGGCTTCTCCAACAGAGGTTTCCTGGCTCTGGAGGACTTCCCCTCTGCCAGGAGTTTGGAGCCTATCACCTTCCCATGTGGGGATCTGTGGAGGGAGCAGCTGGGGCTCCCCCCACTCCCCCCTACTAGCCCGCCAGCCTCCACAGCTTCACCTGCCTCTGCCTTGGGGATCTATGGAAACAGCTTTTCTATTGTTCCCCCTCCAGTTGGAGTGTGAAGGGCAACGAGCGGCAGCCACTGCCTTTCAGCCCCTCTGAGGGTCTGCAGCTGCTGCCCATTCCCCGGGGGCTTCCTGGCTCCCAGAGCAGCTCCCCCAGGCCAGACTGGCCCCAGCTGCCTAGCCCCTAATTAGGCAGAGATGAGATCTGCCCCCTGATCTATTTCCCACCAGCTAATTATATACACGTGGGCTTGGGAGACCGACAACCTGGCTGTTCACTTCTGTCATGAAAGTGTGATGGGCCCCTGGGAAAGGCACCTGACCCCACTTGCCAGACTTCAGTTTTCCCTCTTGGCAGAGGATGGGGTGTAGCTAGAGGGCCCTGGTGCTGTCCCTGGTACAATAACAGGCTTCTGGTTCTGCTACTGAGGCATTCAAAGGGACCAAGGGCAGGAGACCCCCCACCCTCAATGACATCCAGAGGGAGCATGGAGGGACTGAAGAGTTAGGCTATAGGTCCCTGCCTCTAGGATCCCAGGGTAAAGTGGGGGCATGGGTGAGGTCGTGGTGACAGTTGTCCTGCCAGCTTGACATGCACCTGGGAGGGCTTAGAGTAGTGTGGGTCCCTCCAGGCCCAAGGCAGAACACCCCATTTGGGTTTTTAAACATTTAATATTGTTTTTTAGATAATATAGTCATATATTTCCTTTAACACTTTGTCAAGAAAAATGTCAAACTTAAAGAAAATTTGGAAGAATTATACAGTGAACACATATGCCTACCTACTAAATGAACAAGTCTTAATATTTTGCTAGATTTGCCTTGTAAGGCGTCTGTTCATCCATCCATCTATCCATCAATTAAGACAGCGTATCTTTGTGAAGGAGCAAACATTTGTACACTTCCCCTTAAAGGCACTTTAACATGGATATCGTTAGCTGTAGTTCAGTAGTATTTGTTTACAGTTCTTTTATGTTTTAGGGGGAAGGTAAAGTTTACAAACAGTAAGATGTGCTTAATGCTTCCTGAGTTCAGACAAGTGCATTCTATACCTCAAACCCCAATCACAGGACGGGACTGACACTGTCAATGTGGAAAGTTCCTCGTGTTCCTTCTGTGCCTTCCTGTCCCCATCTCATGCGTATGCATCTATACAAATTAGATACCAACACAAAACATTCTCTGGCCCTCTCCTGCTCACTCCCAGCCCAGCTCCCCCAAGCAATGGCATTCAACTCTTTTAACAATCTCTTCTGGTACTTTTCTCCATATTTCTAAGTAACATGCTTTTCCTGCTTTTTTTAAAAATTAATTTTAGGCAAATATTTACCTGTTTTCTGGTCTGATGTCACTGGCCTCTGCAGCCTGACCTCCTGGGTTTGGATCCCCAGCCCTTCCCCTGACTGACCCTGTGACCTTGGGCCAGTGACTTACCCTTCTTGTGCCTCAGTTTCCTCACATGTGATGTGAGAGTACTATGGATATTTGTGTTGCTGGATAGTTGTGAGGATTCAACATGTAAAGTGCCTAGAACAATGTACTTTATCCAGTGAGTGATCAAAACTGTTTCTTTTTATTGTTTTTATTATCAAGGAAGATTTAACTGTGCTTACCTTTCTCTGCTTTCAATCTACGTTTATCACAATTTCCCATTACAGGAATTTTAAGTGTTATTTATATTATAACTGTATAAGAATTGTTTCCTGCCAAGCCAAATCACAAGTCATGGTTACATTTCCTTTCTTGTGAAGCTCTTTGTTTCTTTCCTGGAGTTACTGCCTACCTGCTTTGCTTTTCATTGCCTTAGTTTTTTCTTAACCCTCCCTTCATTCTCAGACATCCTCAGTTTCCCCATAGTTACACATAGAAGATAATTTATTGGTTCTAATTGCTTTCCTGTAACCCTTTAGTGCTTTGTAACAACCTCTACTTTTTAATAAAAGCAGAGGAACCAGTTTTAAAAATAGAATCTCGAGCACAAGGATAATTAGTGAGGTGAACATTTGGGAGTACCACTGAACATCCCTGCCTGCGTGTGTCTCGAAGAGGGGTGGACACTGAAGCGGGGCCCCGCTGCCAGGCCGAGCCACTTACCCAGGGGAACCCCTCAGCACCGCCTGCCGTCCTGCACCTGTTCTTTGCCCTTTGCTTTATTTGTGCATTCAACAAGAGTCTTCTGGGTCCCTCAGCGTGCTGTGCACTGTGCTGGCCAGTGCCAGGGACAGAGAGCTGGGGCCGTGTCAGCCCGCCCACGTCCAGGTTGGCATTTACATGGACATGTGAGCAGCCAGGAGAATCACTGGAACAGAGATGTGCGTGGGGTTGGGTGGTGGCTGGTGCGTGTGTGTGTGACCTGGAAGAGGCGTGGGTGTGTGTGTGTGTGGGAGCTGACCGATTTTCAATGGAAGGCCATCAGTGTGCATTTTATGCATATGTGCGTGGGTGTGGTCTGCACAGTGCGTACTCAAAGGTATGTGTATCACTTAATCTTTCCTGCTCAACAAACCACCCGAAACCCAGGGGCCTAAGACATGATTGATTATTCCAAGACTCGGCAATCTGGGCTCAGCTGGGCAGTCCTGGTCTCACCTAGGCTCACTCGTGTTGCTGCAGTCAGTGGGGGGCTGGGCGGCCTCGGAGACTCTCCCTTGCATGTCTGGCAGTTGGCAGGCTGTTTGCCGGGGTGCCTCAGTTCGCCCAGCTTGGGGACATTCACATGGTAATTTCAGAGTTCCATGTCCGGCAGGAAAGTATAAGCTCCTATGCCTCTGGTTATGGTTACAAATGCCCCAAACAATGTGACCTGGCCAAGTCAGCTTCAGGGGATGGAGAAACAGTTTCTGTCTCTTAGTCACGTTGCAAAGGGCAGGAGTACAGGCATGGAGGGGCGTTGTGGCAGCCAGTTTCCAGCTGACAGCAGCCCATGTGGGCCAGTAACAGTGTTGGGGAAAACTCCCAGCTTGTGCATCAGAAAAACCTGGGCTTCCTGGTGC